AGGTTTATATCCATAAAACAAAGAATGAGGAGCTATATAGTCATTTTGTGTCCTGAAAAAATATAGGAATTTTAAAACCATGAACAAAATGTTATGTAATTTTAAATTCAAATGTACCCAGAGATTTAACATAAAACAGCCTTCCAAGTGTGCTCTTACTCGCTTTCGCAGCTTCGGAAAAACCAGATTTTATTGAGTGTGATAAGAGTGTTTGCCATAGAAACTTGTCTATATACTCTGCTAAGCTTTTAATTGTAAGAATTAACCATACGATTTATCTCTGCATGCAAAGAGGTTTCAGGAGAAATTTCGCGTGTGTCTTGCTAATAAAAAAAACTCGTTACTTGCAGAAAAATGAATAATTCAAGAAGAAAATTTTCATTGAAATATTTATATGATGTGTACAGAAGAAGAGTAGAACAAAAACAAAAATAAGATATAAATACAGTCAGGTTTCTTTAAGTTTCCTCCTTCTCAACCTGTCAATTGAAACGTAAAGCCAGATCAAGAGACCAAAATAGCCACAAGGAACGATCATCTGCCGTAAAAATAAAGAGGAACCTACTCCATTGTAGTCACTAAGAGCAAAATGACTGTAACAAGCTAGGGCCATGAGCGTCATCAATCCTAAGCAAGCGACTCTTCTATAAGTTTTTGATCCTACGATCAATGTAGTACCCAAAATGAGCTCTAAAACTCCCATAGCCTGCATGTACGCTCTTGGATTAGAGATAAGGCCGATGTGTTTGAGCGGCGATACATCTGTAAAGCTTTTGAATGTTTTTATCTGAAATATCTAAAATATTATATGGATTACCATTTCTTTATGTAAGCCAGTGTTCAATCGAACGGTTTTTACTATTCCTGGCAATATGAATAAAATTCCAAGGACAACAGATGAAGCTTCAGTGCCCAATTTAGATACCATAGCGCAAATTTAAGTGAACTGAGATTAATCAAAAGATCGCCAGAGCCATAGATTATTTTAATGAACATGTGCTAACAATAATGAAATGCTTTTGCTATTATAGAGTTTCCATTTGACTGATTTAACTTTTAAGGGAATTTTTTTGTAAATAGATTTTATCTTATTTATTAGTTATTAGTGGACAACGTCACATAGTAAATCTAAGCAGTGTTATTTTTTCTATATATATCGCCCAAAATTTGGTTTAAACTTATACTTATTACTATAATGATTTATGATTCGTTGTATATGTTTTGCGTAGTTAAGAGCTTATTTATAATGAAATTACCTATGGCAAGCATAGATTCAAAAACTTGATACCTAATTCTCTATTTGATCCCTTAGAAAGACAATTTTTCGTGTAGATATTTTTAGATACAAAGACAGAATAAAGATAGTAGCGTGGTATATGTAAATATTACCAAAAACGAAGTAAAGTGATGCGCGATAAGATGATACAAATGCAAGTTTGAAAATATTGCTCTAATGGGATGAAAACAAGGATAGATAAAAATAAAGAAAACTATGTAAATTATTTCGTGCGAAGACCGAAATCTCGCATAAATTTCAGGCTAAGAGATAAGGTAAGCTAAGAGGGCATCCCTCTGGAACGCGACCCCTGAATACCAATCTTCTGTAGCAGTTTGACTTTGATACAACGTTCAGTTTGACGCAGCCAACAAGACATCATTCCTCGCTTCGGGTGAAGAGAGACTAAGCTTTCATCGACATGAGATGTATTCACCATATTTCATTTAAGGTGGTGAAAGACAGATAGTATAATTTTCATACATTGATATAAGCATAGATGACGTTTTAATTGAATTTCACATTGCCTTGCTTTCCCAAAAGTTGTTCTCATCCAGGATGGACTGTAGTTTCGACCTCGCCTAGGTCTTACCAACGCCCCTAGCGGGCGT